ACACTTAAAGAAGAAGTCAACAACACTCTTCCTTTCCTTGATGTTCTTCTCTGCAAAGCTGACCATGAACTTCGTTTTAAAGTCTATTGAAAACCCACCAACCAAAACGATCTTCTCCACTTCTACTCTCACCATGACACCAAAACTAAACGTGGTGTAATTATAGGCTTTTTCCTGCGTGCACTCAGAATCTGCAGCAATGAGTTCCTTGAGGAAGAATGCACTATTATTGAACAAGTATTTTCCAAGCTTCACTATCCTCATCACTTCATCAGAGGCTGCAGACGAAGGGCATTAACCCTTTGAGGGTCGACAGGCCCTCTCCGAAACTCGTTCTCAGGGTCGGCCAAATTTAAAAAAAAAAAATTATTTTCTCTTATGAAAAGATAGAGAATCTTTTCCCGATCATAAAGACACCAAAAGTTTGAAATTTGATAGAAAACTTACGGAATTATGCTCTCGCAAAGTTAGCGGTCTCGGCGATGTTTACGCATTGGCGATTTTGCCCACTTTGAGCCCCATTTTCGGCCAATTTCACTGTACTAGTCGACAAAAAACATGAATATTTCGCTAGAACTCCTTTTTTTCTATCGAATGGGTGCAAGAAACCACCCATTTATGAAATTCAACTATCCAGTACAGTGGTCAGAATTTAGCAATTTTGCCAATTTCACACAAATTTCAAAAGATGCCAATTTCCGAATAGGGTCCAGAATAAACAAGAAAGACATTCCTGGCACTAAAATGACATTTCCTCTAGTCATTAGTCACGTCTCAAGGCCCCTCTTATATTGTTTTGCTTTCCACTTTGAATTTTTATTCTCACAAAAAATATAAGATTTACTGTTATGCAGACTACTGCATTAGTGTAAAAAATGGTATAAATATTATTGGTGCACTTGTGAAAGAATATTAGACTCACCAGTTGGTGTGTATTGCACGCTTGGCACGATTTGTTTACTTTTGAAGTTTGGTAAAAATCGAACATTTCTGCTAATTTGAGCTCAATTTCAAGGCACCTTTCATTGTAAAACCAGTCAAAATCATCTCAATTTCTGTAATATGTCTTCCATTCTATAAAATGAGACCAAGAAAACTAGAATACAACAATAAATACCATACAAAAATACACTTCAAAGTCGCTGATTTATTCCAAAAAAATGGTCAAAGTTTATTTTTCTCATTGTGCACTGTGTGCTGCAGGATTTTTTTTAGACTGTGCACACTGACCACATAGACCCATTCTTTCATATGAAGGCCTACCAGCTTTCTCCCACTAGATTTGAGGCCGCTAGAATTTATGCGTACTAGTACGTCAAAAACCCCTACGCGTAAGACGTACTAGTATGACCAAAACCCTCAAAGGGTTAAACATCTTCAACACACCCAGAGAAGACACTGCCAAGAAGAGATACTTAGTCCTCCCCACCATCTCCATTGCCAAACACGTTTCCAACATCTTTTCCAGTACCTCATTCCAAGTATCTACCTCCACAACCACGACCATCAAAGACATTACCAGTAATAGACAGGACAAGCTTCCATCCTCTGCAGGGGTATACATAATCCCTTGTAATGAGTGCAGCAAATTATATGTCTGTGAAACATCAAGAGACCTCCAAACACGTATTTCAGAACACCAATATGCAAGCAGGTCTGACGATACAAGAAATGCCTGTGTGCAACACGATAATTCACACAACCATTTAATAAGCTACAGAAACTCGAGACTTATCGCCAGAGAAGACAACACTCAATACTGAAGAATCCCGGAATCATCGCTTATCTCTATATCCGACAATTTCAACTAGAACAATGGCTTCTATAACATAGCTGAACCATTTGCCAAGAAACTTCTTCATCGCTGTCCCACATAAGAACATAGGAATGGAGGAACACTGCAGAAGGTCTGCTCACAAACTTATCCAGTCTCCCTTCCAAGCTACCCAAGATTTTAGACTCTATAACCCCACTCGGGAGATCATCAGATGCAGCATTCTCCACCTGACCTCAGCATTCTGAACCTGACTATAAATACTCGCATACCTTCCACCCCAGGTAGATCTGTTTGTGACTTGAAAAAGCCCACTGTGTGGGTGAAACGTTGTCAATAAAGGATCACATTATACTGCATATGTGTTTATATTTCCTGGTGTATACCTGGAGAGGGTTTTGGGGGTCAATGCCCCCGTGGCTCAGTCTGAGACCAGGCCTTGTGGATCAGGGTCTGATCAACCAGGCTGTTACTGCTGGTCGCACACAACCTAAAGTCAGTTACTGACTTTAGGTGCCTGTCCCGTGCCTTCTTGAAGACAGCCAGGCATCTATTGGTAATCCCCCTTATGTATGCTGGGAGGCAGTTGAACAATCTTGGGCTCTGGACGCTTATTGTGTTGTGTCTCAGTGCACTCGTGGTGCCCCTGCTTTTCATTGGAGGAATGTTACATCTCCTGCCGAGTACATGTGGTAAAATATTGTTAAACAAAAAGAAAGCCACTAGCATGCATGAGAATTTCTGGCAGACTAATCCTAATTCTTACAGACTAGTTAAAACTAGACACAGGTTATGGAGTGCTGAATTTTAGTTATACATTAGTACAGAAAGAGAGGTAGCAAAAAATTTTTATAATTAGTGAAATTTATAGTAGAGAGCTTGCAAGCAACAAAAGAAAATATTTCAGTTAGTACAATTTTAAGTGTGTATTAATACTTGAATTAATTTAGTGTTCTGAAGTTAACTCTCTCCAGGTAAACTCCAGGTAACTGGGATTTCTAGAGTAGTTTCAAACCAGTTCTATGATTTCAGGGATAGTATAGTGTTGGTGTAGTTAAGTTTGGGAGATGGGGTGATTTTTAATTATAGCCCTAAATTGATTGGCAGACGGGGGACCTTTTGCTCGTTCGGGTAGTTAATTCCAGATCTTGGGGTCCTTTATATGTACTGCATTTTTGCATAAGGTGAGATGGACATGAGGGATGTTGAAGAGAGCTTTGTGCCTTGTGTTGTGCCTGTATGTTCTGTTGTAGCTATCAAGTAGAAGTTTGAGAGGAGGGTTTATATTGGAGTTTAATGTTCTATATATATACTAGGCACAGAATTATGCATGCATATTTTGTATATTAAGCAAGTTCAAGGTCTTGAAGAGTGGAGGGGTGTGTTCATCATGAGTAGAGTTGGTGATCATTCACACAGCAGCATTTTTGTTGGGATATTAATGGTTTAAGGTGATTGGTTGTAGCAGATTCCCTAGCACAAATACCATTGGTGAGGCAAGGTAGATTAGAGAGTGGTATAGTGTGTGTAGTGTTGTTTGGGGTACATAGTACTGTATTTTAGAAAGGATGTCAACTGTTTTGGAGATCTTGGCTATATGTTGGGTGTGGGTTTTAGTCAAGGTGAAGACCTAGAAATTTGCCGTCAGTGTGTCTCGTAATGGGGAAACCATTGATTGGTATGTTAAGTTGATTATTTAAGGCTTTGTTTCCTAAAAAACTGTAATAAGTTTTGTCTGTATTGAGAATGAATTTGTTGGTCGTCATCCACATAGATATTTTTAGTAGCTCATTGTTAACAGTATCACTAAGCATAGTTGTGTTTGAGTAGGAGAAGACATAAGTAGTGTCATCTGCGAATAGAATTGGTTTGAGATGAGATGCATTGGGAGACAAGTGATGTAAATGAGAAAGAGCAGAGGGCCACGGACACTGCTCTGTGGCACTTAGATGGCTACAGGCTGAATAGTCAAGGTTATGCCATTTGTGGAGATGTACTGGCATCTGTTGCTAAGATAAGAGTTTAGGTATGTCCTCTGACATACAATTTGCATTCTTTAACAAAAGTACCACACACTAAGACAAAAGTTCAGTTGCTTAAGGGGGTGTCAGGAAGTCCAGCAACTGCTCACACTAGTTATAATTAAATTTTTCAGATAACTGATCATTCTGAGCAGTTGATCATCATACTGTATTACTGTGTTTGTAAATATTTCTGTATGAAGGGTATAAATCAGGGAGTAGAACCTAACCTAGTCTAACCCTCTCTGCTTCCATTGTGAGTGGAAACCATATAGTCTCTTCTTTGGGATTCTGAATGTGTATCTTTTATATCATGATACTCTTATAGGTCCCCTTTTTTGTTTGTTGTTGTTGTTGAAGTGGGTGTGACATTTCAAAACATTGCAGCCTGTGACTTCCTCAGTAAGTACTCACCCATTTGCAGTCGCTCACTTATCTGTGGTTGCAGGGATCGACTCACAGATTCTAGCCCTGGCTCTTAGCTTACCATTCTTCAGATTCACTCTCTTAGCCTTGTGGGTCATATCATACCTGTTCTTAAAACTGTGTGTGAAGCCTGTCTCCACCACTTTTTCCTCCAAGCTCATTCCATTTCCACACCAGTCTAAGACTGAAGAAATACTTCCTAACATCACTGTGGCTCATGTGTGACTTTAACTTCATGGTGTCCCTGAGTTCCTGTTTGTTGTCTCTCAAACAATCTCTCCCTGTCTACCTTATCAATTTCCCTGAGTATTTTATGTTATGTGTCATCCCTAGCTGTTCTTTCCTCCTGCATTATTAGGTCCAGTTGTGTAGCCTCTCTTCATAGTTTATGTCCCTTCAGTCCGGAACAAGCCTTGTTGCATACTTCTGTACTTGCCCCAGTTTCTAAACATGCTTTTTCAGCTGCAGCTTCCATACTTGTGCTGCATACTCCAAGATGGACCTAATGTATGTTGTAGAAAGGGTCCATAATGACATTGTTGAGATTCCAGAAGGCTGCTCTTAGATTTTGCAGATGAGCATTGGCTGCAGTAGTTATCTGGCTGATGTGTGCTTCTAGCGTTATACTGGGCACTATTCTCACCCCTAGGTTTTACTTTGAGTGAAGTCTGCAGTCTCTGTCCCTCGAGACTTCCTGCACTGCTCCTGCATTCTTATGTTCTTATGTTATAAAATCCTTACATGTAAATATCTAATGTGCATATTCTTATCTTTCCTAGGCAGAATTATATGCACACCACTCAATGGTTCGTAATATTTTATTGGCACTGGACAAAAGTGATATCCGACTGTGTGCAGCTTACCTTGTGGATTCTCACTATGCTAATGATCCAGGTAAGAAAATCTTAAAGTGAAGAAATTTAACATTAGTTTTTCAATGAAGTGGTCACAGTATGTACTGTCTGTGGTAAACTAAAACAATTAGTGTCATTATCCTTATATACAGAACTGCTTACCTTTGGAAGAAGGTGCTTGTGATATTTCATATGTGAAAGATAGTGTGTATCCATAGATAATATTAACATAAATTCAATAGCAAATTACTCAAAGAATTTCTTTGTTTTATAACTATCCACTTTTTTTTATGCCACATTGGCCCCTTGCCAGAAAAGCAGAGAGAAATATACTGCATCCTTAGCCCCCAACCACCCGATTCCAGCTCTAATACATCTTGCAAGAAGAAACAGCTGAAATCAATCATTGAATCAAGGATTTCCCAACCTTTCCCTCTTCTTTCTTGGAAGCTTTCAATGTAAAGAGGAGAGAGAGCTTTCTATAATGAATGTGGGTTGTTTGAGAAGTGCTGGAATGAGTTTTAGGAGTGTAGGAGCTACATGGAGTAGTGTTGGTTGAGTAAACCAGTATAGGGGTAAGTTGTAGGGTTAGGTAAGAGAGTTGGAAAGGTGTGTTTGAAGTATAGAAGAGAGCTGTAGAGGTATGCTAGAGCCGGAGGGGTACCTGAAGCTCACACTAACTCAGATTAAATAGCTCAGTTTACACGACAAGATGGCTCACCACATGTGTAAAATAAAATGGAAGTGATAAAGCCATAAGCAAGGGACAAACTAAATAGGCAAAAAATGGCCTTCTAATCAAATGCAATCAAACTGTTAGAAGTTGTAAGGTTGTTAGAGTGAGTTGTTGTAGTTTTTGCATGTGTTGTAGTGGTGTGACCCCTCAAGGGAGGTTCCTTGATGCTGGTGAGGGGCTCTTGATCCAGGGAATTGGATCTGTGTTCCAGTTCCTTGAATTGAATCTGAATACCTTCCATCTCCCACCCTACAAGCACTGTATAATCTCTATGGGTTTAGTGCTCCCCCATGATTATAATAATGTAGTAGTGTGAGAGTGAATTATTTGTATAGAAGAGTGTGGGAGTGTATTGTATGACATGTATGATACTTGTATGGTAGTAAGATGTATTTGGGTGACTGAAGTGTAGAAGTTAGTTATATGAGTGAGGAAATGTGGTGAAGAGAAGTGACTATGAATTGTAGGAGCGTTGAAGTGGTGAAGAAGTAATCTATAAATATATGGAAGATTATAATTTGCTGGAAAGATACTAAGCTTAGCTGACAAATTTCAGTGCTAAAGCTCTTGCTTCACATGGCAAGGGTCTGCGTTCGATTCCCAATGTGGGTAGAAACATTGGACATGTTTCTTTACACCAGTTCTTTATGTTCACCCATTAGTAAAATGGGTACCTAGGAGTTAGTCGTTTGGTGTGGGTCACATCCTGTGACAAGTAACTAATTTACCGGAAATGCTAGACGTATATACTATGTACATGTACTTGTAGTAAATGAAGATATTATTTATTATTTTATTTTAACAAGTCGGCCGTGTCCCACCGAGGCAGGGTGACTCAAAAAGAAAGAAAATCCCCAGAAAGAAAATACTTTCATTATCATTCAACTCTTTCACCTCACTCACACATAATCACTGTTTTTGCAGAGGTGCTCAGAACACAACAGCTTAGAAGCATATACGTATAAAGATAAACAACATATCCCTCCAAACCGTCAATATCCCGAACCCCTCCTTTAGAGTCCAGGCATTGTACTTCCAGGACTCAAGTCCGGCTATATATATCTATATTATTATATATACAGTGGAACCTCAAATATCGAACTTTCTTTAGTCCAGAAGGCTGTTCGAGTGCCTTTACCGAATGAATTTATTCCCATCAGGAATAATGTAAATTAGATTAGTCCATTTCAGACCCTCAAAAATACACTTATAAAAGCACTTACAAAAATACACTTACATAATTGGTCGTGTTGGGAGCAGTTCGATTTTTGAGGTTCCACTGTATATATCTTTCTTTCTTCTTTCAACACACTGGCCATATCCCACCGAGGTGGGGTGGCCCAAAAGGAAAAACAAAAGTTTCTCCTTTTACATTTAGTAATATATACAGGAGAAGGGGTTATTAGTCCCTTGCTCCCGGCATTTTAGTCGCCTCTTACAACACGCATGGCTTAGGGAGGAAGAATTCTGTTCCACTTCCCCATGGAGGTAAGAAGAAATAAACAAGAACAAGAACTAGAAAGAAAATAGAAGAAAACTCAAAGGGGTGTGTATATATATGCTTGTACATGTATGTGTAGTGTGACCTAAGTGTAAGTAGAAGTAACAAGACGTACCTGAAATCTTGCATGTTTTTGAGACAGAAAAAAGGACACCAGCAATCCTACCATCATGTAAAACAATTACAGGCTTTCGTTTTACACTCGCTTGGCAGGACGGTAGTACCTTCCTGGGCGGTTGCTGTCTACCAACCTACTACCTAGGTTATACAACAAATTTCTAAGAAAATCTCCAAGACTGTAGACATACTATCGAAGATACGGTGCTATGTTCCACAGTCAGCCCTCCTGGCCCTTTATCACTCTCTTATTTACCCCCTGTCTCACCTATGGAATTTGTGCATGGGGCTCAACAACAATTAACCATCTCAGACCACTAATTACCCAACAAAAGGCTGCAGTTAGAATGATAACAAATTCTCACTACAGGCAACACACACCACCAATATTCAAAACACTCAACCTACTCACCATACAAAACATCCATACTTATTATTGCACCTATTACATACATAGAACACTTAACTCTGATATTAACCCTCCCCTCAAACATCTCCTTGCCAACCTCAACAGAACACATGACCATAACACAAGGCACAGATCACTCTTTGATGTTCCTCGTGCCCATCTCACGCTATGCAAAAACTCAATGCACATAAAAGGCCCTAAAATCTGGAATTCATTACCTGTAAATATAAAAGAAACACTACCTGTTTATAAATTCAAGTCTCTTCTCAAAGATCACTTACTCACTCAAAACCAAATAAATACTGAATAACTGAACCTTATAAATTGTATATCCTATATGTTACTCACAATTATATCACACAAATGTTAAACCTAGGACCCAATCTAACTTTATTATTTTTTTAAATACACTACCTAACAGAATACTCCATTCGACTGAATGTACAGCAATGCAAGCAACCATATGACCTGTCTTTGTAATACTCATTTGTGCATTATAGTTATCTGTTTACAATAATGTTTTATCACTGATTTCATCATTGCTTAGTTAATCTTAAGTTAATTTTAAGCCAGCCCGTAATGCTATGCATATAAGTGGCTTTGGCATGCTGCTCTTACCTGTATTTTTTGTACCTCTGTTTGTATGCTTAACCCTTTCAGGGTCCAAGGCCAAAATCTGAATTCACGCACCAGTGTCCAAGAATTTTCCCCAAAAAAATTTGTTATTTTTTCTTATGAAATGGTAGAAAATCTTTTTGTGAAGGTAATAAAACAAAAAGTACGAAATTTGATGGAAAATTGACGAAATTATGCTCTCGCAAATTTTGATGTGTCAGCGATATTTACGAATCGGTGATTTTGCCGACTTTGACTTCCATTTTAGGCCAATTACATCATTCCAGTCGACCAAATTCTTAGCTATTTTACTAGTATTACTTCTATTCTATCGATTGAGCACAAGAAATCGCCAAGTCAACTGTTTCAACTACAAAATAAAGTGATCGGAAATTGGTAATTTGGCCAATTTAACACAAAGTTCAAAATATTCCAATTTCAAAATAGCATCCAGAATAAACAATGTAGCATTCCTGGCACTAAACTAACATTTCCTCGGTTCATTAGTTATGTTTTGAGGCTTTACAAATAAATCCCATTTTTATTTTTTATTTACATAATGAATTTTTATTCACACCAAAAAATAGAAGATTTACTGTTATGCAATATTGTAATAATTGTATAAATATCATCACCACATTTGTGAATGTGTATTAGATCCACCAGCTGGCATGTATTAGACGTGTGAGGTCGTTTGTTTACTCTTGAACATCGACAAAAATTTAACATTTCCGCTACTTTGAGCTCAGTTTTCAAGCCATTTCCGGTGCTAAAAACCAATCAAAATCATCTCTATTTCTGTAATATGTCTTCCATTCTATCAAATGAGACCAAGAAATTGCAAATACAACTATAAAAAACATACGAAAAAACACTGCAAAGTTGCTGTTTTAATCGAAAATCTTGGTTTCAGTTTTTTTTCTCTCATTATACACAGTGTGCTGCAGGATTTGTTTTATGTGGTGCACACATGCCACATAGATGTATTCTCTCATATCTAGGCCCAAGTGTACCACTCACAGTTTATCAGAGTGAGCTGAGCTCATGACGTAGATCTACGGTTTGGACACTGAACGCAAAGCCGTAGATCTATGGGACGGACCCTGAAAGGGTTAAATTACTAAATAAATAAATAAATAAATAAATAAATAAATATATATTTATTTATTTTTTATTATCACACTGGCCGATTCCCACCAAGGCAGGGTGGCCCGAAAAAGAAAAACTTTCACCATCATTCACTCCATCACTGTCTTGCCAGAAGGGTGCTTTACACTACAGTTTTTAAACTGCAACATTAACACCCCTCCTTCAGAGTCCAGGCACTGTACTTCCCATCTCCAGGACTCAAGTCCGGCCTGCCGGTTTCCCTGAACCCCTTCATAAATGTTACTTTGCTCACACTCCAACAGCACGTCAAGTATTAAAAACCATTTGTCTCCATTCACTCCTATCAAACACGCTCACACATGCCTGCTGGAAGTCCAAGCCCCTCGCACACAAAACCTCCTTTACCCCCTCTCTCCAACCTTTCCTAGGCCGACCCCTACCCCGCCTTCCTTCCACTACAGACTGATACACTCTTGAAGTCATTCTCTTTCGCTCCATTCTCTCTACATGTCCGAACCACCTCAACAACCCTTCCTCAGGCCCTCTGGACAA